CACTCGAATGTTTATAGCAGCCACAATTCATAATTGCAGCTGTGGAAACAGCCCAAGTGCCCATCAATCCAAAATGGTTAATAATGTGGTATATGGTATACCATGGATACTATTCAGCTCTAAGAAACAAGGGATATAGCACATCTTATATTTTCCTTGTTAGAGCTGGAACCCATACTACTAAGTGAAGTATCCCAAGAATGGAAGAACGAGCACCACATGTACTCACCAGAAAACTGGCATTAACTTAGCAGCACCTAAGTGGACACATAGGTACTACAGTAAAGGGTAATTGCAGCGTGGGGGGGAGGGGGGAGGCGGTATATATATACATAATGAGTGAGATGTGCACCATCTGGGGGATGGTCATGCTGGAAGCTCAGACTTGTGTCGGGAGGGGAGAAAGGGCATTTATTGAAACTTTAAAATCTGTACCCCCATAATATGCCAAAATAAAAAAAAAAATTAAGCCAAAAAAAAAAAAAAACTAAAAATAGAACTACCATATGATTTAGAAATCCCATTTCTGGATATACATCCAAAGGAAATGAAATCCATATTTCAAAGAGATATCTGCACTCCCATGTTCATGGCAGTGTTATCCACAATAACCAAGATATAGAAACAACCTAAATGTGTTAAATGGATACACAGATAAAGAAATATGGTATCTATTTATCTATGTATTTGTCTGTATCTATATAATGGAATATTATTCAGCCTTAAAAAGGAAGAGTATCCTGCCATTTGTACCAATATTGATGAACATAGAGGGCATTATGCTAAGTGAAATAAGACAGATATAGAATGAAAGAATACTTCATGATGTCATTTATATGTGAAATCTAAAATATTTCATTTCATGAAAACAGAAAATCTGAAAATGAAAATTTTCAGAACATTGTAGATTGTGGATTTGGGGGTTAGGGATGTTCAAGTTATATTTTCATCACACATAAAACATGGTAACTACTCGAAGGGATGGATATATTCGTTACCTTGTAATCATTTCACAATGCAAATGTGTATCAAAACATCACATTATATACCTCAAATATGCTCAATTTTTTGTTTTCAATGATACCTGATAAAGCTGGGCAAAAAGTCATAATTTTGCTCCTTGGAGTGGAGCCTTCGAGATAACTTTACTGGATAGCTTACTTAACATACTCTAGGATGCTTGGAGAAGCATATTGAAATGATCTATACAAATCTGACATTTACTGCAGGCCTTTACACCTTTTTTAAAAATGTGAATATCCTCTGAGATTATCTGCTTAGCTCAAAGTAAAGATAGCTTATGAATATCTCACTTGTGGGGCTTTAGATATTGTGTCTATGCTAAGCCACAAGTTAGACATTGGGGGGAACAAAGATATTTGATATTTGAAAGCACTCAGAAGAAGGAGGGGAGGAAAGATCAGTATTTCCAGAGATACTAGGATAACTACCAAGAAGTCTAAATCACACTCAAATTACTTTTAAAAGTGATCTTGCAGATTCAATAACTTTTCCAACAAGACAGAGGAAAAAAGTGCCTCAAAGGCACAATTCATTCTAGCATGTATTTTATCACCAGGAGAAATAAAATTAATTCCAATGAATAGTTCTGAATCAATGAGATTATCAAACTGAATCAGACATCAAAAAAGATAACATATCTAACCACATTTAAGGACCTTCTAAGGGTCCTGTAGAAACATCTTGAATGTATCTGACCTGACACTTCTTTAAGTGATACTTGAGAGTATTTGAACATTGCATTTCACTCAAAATGTTGAGTCCCTAAGCAACTGAACCTGCTACTGCTTTTTATTTCAGAAACATACCTCTTTCAACCATCTGTCACAAAAATAAAACTTCAAATGATGTAGGCAATAGTTAGTATTTTATCTCTTATTATATGCATGTATTTTGCCTTTTTGGTAATCACATTCACTTGTCTCAGACAAAATTATCTGTTGGAAACTGTGGGTGGTTTTACTGATTAAAAGATAACAAAATAAACCAAAGCTCTTTGACATTCTATGTTATATCTAAAATGTCACTTAAACTAAAACCTGCAAGTTAAGCAGGTTTGCTAGAAGCGTCCTTTAAAAGACTTTGGCTCCCCAAGTATGATGCAAACCTGTTACGTGTACAAAATCCACCTGGGTTCCTGGCATGGCTCCTGTGTGACTGGGAACACAGGGAACTAATGCACATGTAAAGCTTAGGATGCCATGAGTAATAAAGTGCCTGGGTCCCAACCTCACAATCTCATGTCCACTCTCAACATTCATGACATTGTGGTGGGCCAACTTGTCCTCTTGCAGGCTACGTAAAATCTCAAACCCTTTGAAACAAATGATACCAGGAAATTGAATTCTAACCTGCTTCTTAGGTTATCGCATAAATTTAATTTCTTTTAAATCAGTCATGTGAGTCACAGAATTGCTTTACTTTTATGAGAAACAATGCATCCTGATGGTTAAAATGAAGCCAATATATTCTGGGATATTATTTCTCACAATTTGTGAAAATATTCTTTATTTCCTCATATTTTTGGAAGAATTTCTCTTTCCCTATTGTGTTACCATAATTGATTATTATGTAATGATTATATGGATTAATAGAAACCTGAAGATAAGGTGAAGATAAGTGTGTTTACTTTGTTATATATTTGATATGCAAATGAGTTATGTATAGAGTAATTCCCAGTGGTGGTGATAGTGTTATTTGAATATGTGTGTATGTCTATCTATTTATCTCTTCATCCATGGATATCTGTATATATCTATAATGTTTGGATAATAAACATCAGAAAAAATCACTAAATGCTTCATCGTTAAAATCTGAGCTATGAAGATATGTCTAAAATTTTTCCTGCACCCTGGTTACCCACGTTAATACACACTTTTCTTGTTTGCATTGCTCTATTCTTTTCTGATCTTTTCCGCTGAGTACATGAGGATGTACTGTTCTCTGCTAGTGTTTTGGAATACATATTAAAAAAGAATTATGATCCTTTCCCTCAGATAGCTCATGATATGTAATGGTAACTATGGGATAAAAACATAACCAACAGGCAAAATTTAACTGCAGCATTATGAATAAATGTTAACTGTAAAGAGAAGACATATTTCCACAGAAAAGGGTTTCTCAGAGAATGTGTTAGAATATACAAAGTGGCTCCCATAAGGAAGGGATCTGTAAACTATGCTGGGATATAAGGCTAGTCAATACAGCAAGAGCAGTGAAATAATTTGTATTTTCCTAATTCCTAAATAGCCTTACTAAGTGAAAGAAAAACTGAAATACACTTTCTGCAATGGGTAATACCACATGTACAAAGGTGAAAGAATGTAGCATGTATAGGCTTGACCATGGCAAATGGTCATGAAAAGCTGAATTTTAAAATTGATTTTACTTTTCTTTTGTAAATAATGTTAATCCATAATAAATGGCACAAAAAATATCTGTTCCAGAAAATTCTTCATTTTGATGGAGAAATGACCCTTCAGCTCCAAAGTAGCATGATGAATTCCCAGGTTCATATTGACACAGTGATGAGGGATAGAAGTAATAACTTTAGCCAAATTTGCTGGATATATTTGCACATTGGGAATAATGGAAAAAGCTTCTTATTACAGGCAGACAGTTATCAGCTTGAGGATAGCAATGATTTACTGCAAGTTACTGCAGAGCAAGGTGAAGAAAAATTCAGTAATTTCCTTTGTAATGCTGCATATTTAATCTTTCATAATTTTGACATGGTTTTACTTTATTAATGACAGGCCTTAATATATCTATGAAAATGTTATTTTGGTGAAATATTAGATATTCATACTTTTGTTGTAGACTTCATGTTTCTTCTCACTATGTTGATATTCTTATATATGATATCCATCACGCTTTTACTTACTATGTTCCAGGCATTGTGCGAAGCCAATTACATGTAGTATCTCATTTGATTATTTAATCTTTACTAACAGTAAGGGTTTTTATGTGGGGATGGGCCTAAGAAAAGCCTGATGCCTGAGTGTGATGAGAGATGTTGTGGCTGGAAAATTGACCCGCGATTTTATCTAGTCTTATTGTAGAAATAGGAATAGTCTGGAGTGGTTTACATCAATTGCTTGTACCTGGTGAACAGACAGGGACACGTCCTGAACCTTCAAACAGTTATTAAGGAATTATATCAAAACTCATATGATAATAGCAAAGCAGAGATTCTAGACCTCATTCAAGGGACTTGAAGACTGAGAAGTCTGTACTTCGCTAGTAGAATCCATTATTGTTTTTCACTTTGAACAACTGCCCCCTTGATAATTGGGTTTCATATCCATGCCATTACAAATGATTCATTTTTATTTCTTCCCATCTTTTCTTAAATTACATAATCATCCTTTTGCGCCAACCATACCTGTACTCATTTTACAGATGAGGAAAAACCAAGCTCAGAGTTGTTATTTACCCAATATTATTCTGCCTATACGTGAATAAGATAGTGTAGAAATCAATAACTATGTCTGCAAGTACAAATTGTTAGCTAGCATGTTTCACCACTAAAATTATTTGTTAGCCAGAGGGAAACTTCCACAGATGAAGACTTTACCAACAGACCTCCTGGACAATTGTATAAAAGCAAATAAAGAGTTGCTATTTAAACATCTGACTACATAATCATACTGAATTAATTAGTAAGTAGAGAATAAAAGGAAACACAGAATGGCAAGTCCTTCTAATTTGTTCCTTTTCAGTCTGTTTCATTGCCAGTGGTATTAGATAAGCAAGCACCAGTTGCTGGCGCTTTCCCATAGTGGTGTTTTAGTTTATGTACACTCTTTTCTTGCTCTGTGTTTTTGGTGTAGCAAATTTTGCCAGAAGGGCAGCATTTGTTGATCAATAGGAACAGATTCAGGTTGTTGGGAAAAAATTGTAGTCATGCTTCAGGTGCAGCCCAAAATCAATAAGCAAGAGTGTTTCTTAACAGAGTGAAATGAAGAGCAATTACTTACTGCAGCTAAATGACATCCTGTGTTGGATCACTGTCTATGCTGGATGCTGGGAGGCACCAAACGGAGGGGCTGCAGGATAAGCAGTTGACATGGTTACCGATGGGGTATGCCAAAGAGATGACTTCACCTGAATTGGTAAACAAGATCTGTAGTTATATAAACTGTCAGAGTCAGGAAAATGTTTCATTGTTGAGTTCATGAGTGAATTCAAAAAAATGTATATCAGCAGGAATAATAGTTTTAATTGTGGCAGGGTTTCTCACCTTCAGCAATACTGATGTATTAGACTAGATAATTCTTTGTTGTGAAGGTCTGCCATATGCAAGGTAGCATTGCTAAACCCCTAGATACAAATAGTGGCCCTGCATTATGAATATCAAATGTCCCATAAGAGGCAAAGTACCCCCAGTTGAGTGGTTGAGAACCACTGACTTAATAACTCATTTTTTTTACTTGACTCATACATTATTTCTTTCCTGGTATAATTCTTGGATAGAAAGAAATAAATAAAAATTGCATGTACCTGAAAGAATAAAGTAAATTTTGTTATGAATAGCATCTAATTTGAGAGTAAATCTCAAAATATTCAGGATTCCTCTCTACTTATTGTGTTTTAAGTAGATGTGTTAGTTTCATTTGAATATTGCATGGCAGTAATTGGTGGTCTTGTTCTTTCTGAAAAGTGTTTGATACATGTAGGCAGGAATATGTTTATGCAGAAACCACTTACCATAAAGGATAGGCAGAAGATAACTGGTCTCTGGTCTACCGTTCAAATCTTGATTAAACTGTTAGTTTGGAGTCTGTGAGTCTAAGCCTCTATATAAAACAATTTCTAAAACGATTATTATAAAACAGGATTTAGACATAATTAAAATGATTTGTGCCTGATTAATATCACACTTGAAGTAGAGTTTTCCACCGCTATGCATTTATCACTCTAGCTATACACATTTAGGATTTGCCACTGCACTAATTTGTGTGATATAAAAACTCAAGGAGATATGTCTTTTGATTGATATGTATCGTATAATCTGACTACAGAAGCATTTTAGGTACAATCCTACTTCTTTGGGTTAGGAGTCAGAGACTTAACCGGAATCAACTAGAGGTCATCTAGTGTATTGATCAGTCAATCTCTCTATCCCTAATATTATTCACCTAAGGGAAACATTTCTCTGAAAGTAAGCTACTTGTCTTTCAGTTATATAGGATGGGTATTATCATTCATGAATTCTGAGCCCAACACTAGAACTACTGAATCAGTTTCTATAGTCCCAGAAATATTTATTTCAGCTGGCCATAATATAAATTTTATGTACAACAAAATTTGAAAATGAATTTTTAAGATTTCATGGAAAGACAGCAAAAGGAATGCTTGAGAATGATTAATCTCATTTTATATATCATTGTGTGGTTACTGTAAGCTTAAACTATATATGCAAGCCATCACTAATATAAAGTTGGAATCTCTAATAAATTTCTCATACTTATTAAGGAATTTGTAAATATTTAAAGTCAAGAATAGCTAAGAGAATAGGCTTTTACACTGTGGTTGCTTTTTTGTTTGCATTATTTGGGTTCCACAGATCAGTTTTGTTAATGTGCTCCTCACTTCTGTAACCCAATATCTGGTTTTATTTATCTCTTTCTTATATCCTTAGCATGCATTTTTCTATTTGAATATATTCAAAATGCCTATTTTCTATAACAACTTAAAATCAATTTAATATAAAGAACATTTGTTTCCTTCTAATACACTGTATAAAAATACATGATTGGCCCTAAATATGTATTATCTACAGTAGAATTGGCTTCACTCTCTTTAAATCCATCTTGTCCAGCTTCTATAAGCTGTATTTACCCCCTTGTAGTTCTGCATGAATTATGTCTGAGCCATCTAAATGGAAGGCATGTTTCCTTCCACTCTTGGGTAGGTGGTGCTACTGATTGAATCGATTCAAGTTAAAACCAAGTATACCCAAAAATATGGGTGTCATGGAGGCTACCCCTAATATCTTCTGTATTAGCAGCAATTGCTTGGGAGAGCTTACTATTTAATCATATATCTATTAGCATGTTCTGAAGCATACTTTCAGATCCACAGTTATTTGGGACATTTGTCTGTCTACTCTGTGTTAAGGAAACAAGGAAATTTTGCACAGAATCCCTTGGCTTTTGAAAATAAAAAAAGGAAATATCTTGATTTACTAAGATAATTCTAATGATTCACTATTTTAAGCATCTTGTTTAGAGCAGCAGGATTTTGCTGTTTTACAAGGTCTTGCCTTCGTCTTGTGGTTTACACTAAGTAGTATAAAACTTAAGCTGGTTTTATGTAAGAATTATACAACTATACACAGTTTAAAGCATTCATTATTGTGATAGACTACAGTTATTTCCTGTGAGATAGACAAAGCAGAGATGCAAAAGTTTCACATGCACTCTGCTTTTAAAGACTGCTGCAACACTATAGAGATCTTCAGCTCTCAGGGATGAACTTGAAAAGAACATGGCCTGGGGCCAGGTGAGGTGAGGACTAAAGAAAAAGGTACAATATAATTTTTTTTTAAAAACATTCTGAATACCAGAATGCCGTAAAATTTTATTTGTTTCCTTACAGAATGTTCACAGCATGCCTTGTTAGCAATGCCGCATTCTTTCAAAGTTGAGCTACTGTGTAATAAACTGCAATCATGCAAAACAGTAGGTACTGGGAAAACTGGTGACCTCTTTATTATTTCTTCATTCAACAAATAAAAATCCAACAAATGCATACTAAATGCCACAATCAGAGCTTCCATGACCCCCTTTCTCCTGTGGAGCTCTGTTCGAGGAGCTGGAGGCATCATTCCACCACTCATCCCAGTGCCCAGTCAGATTCTCAGTTTTCAGAGGAAAAATAAATTTCAAGAGAAAACTTTAAGGCTCTTTAGGCTAGACGTATTAGATTGTCTATGAAGAGGCAAGATTTTTCAGACCCATTTGGATGAGTACAGAAAAATGACTCTCACTGAGGTAGCATAAATTTTTTTATGGAAGAGTTTATTTCATGTTGGCAAAGTCCCAAAAAATATGATCCAGTCAAAAACACCCTGTTGCTGGGCAGTAGATTTTATTTCAATAGAAAAGTCTACATAAAAATACCTAGAGAAAATGTAGACACAACATTTGCTTGTGTATTCGTTCCTATTCCTGGGAAATACCAGTAAAATTTTATTCTTACATAAATCCTGAAAAAAACATATTACCATTGGTCTGGAAATATGTAGATTATAAATTCAACATATGCTAATATTTTTTACCATGTACAATTAAAATAAATCAAGTTTAATGTCTATATATTTTTCTTTATGTTTTTATCTGTACTTTATATGTATAAATAGTAAGTTAATAAAAATGTTTCAGGTTTTACTCTTTTTCAAAGCTTTAAAATTTTTCTGCTTTTCTATTATGTGAAACATTTAAATTCTAATAATGTAGAATTTTAAATATAACCACTGTTTGTGACACATGCTTTCTTTTATCCTTAACAAGTATATGCATTCTGAATCACCTTATTTTAAACATTTTTACCTTGAACTGATTAACTTTCAGTTTACCTTTCTAAAATACTGCTTTGTCATGTCATTTACCTCATCATAAACTTTCAAAAGAATTTAATTTGATTTAAAATTCCAAACTTTTAAAATTGGCAGCCAAAAAGTTAACACAACATAGACAACCTACATATATGATATTCTCTTGCCTCATCTATATGTGAACATCCTACTCCACCTTAGGAAGAAAGCCTAATACCAACAGTTCCCAAATTAGCTTTGTAAATACTTATCTACTCCTTATTTACTATGCCCTGGATGCCTTCCTGAATTTATAATAATCCAAATTATACTCATTCTGGAGGATTTCATTGAGATCCCAGCTCCATACTTGATCTTTCTCTCTTATTCCCATTCCACTCAATCCCTTCCTTTTTTCACTCATGTTCAACAACTGCTTATCAAACACTTCATATGAGAAGCTTTGCTAGGCTAGGTGCCATGAACAATTTGACACAATTCTTGCATCACAGAGCTTACAGTCTAAATGACACTAAGCAAATAAATGCACAATATATGTATGCATACCCACATACATACATAAAGACAATTGCTATAAAGAAAAAATTTAAGTTGTGTTTGTGTTAAGAGAGTTAAAAATCTTATACTTTGGTTTCAAAACAAAACGCTTAAAAATATTCTGGGGACTGAGTTATAGCTGTTAGGTAAAAAGGAAGTGAAGAATATTCCAGGCAAAGGCTAACACTCAAAAGTAACTAGTGTCGCTAGAAACTCAGTAATTGAGGGAAAAATTTGTCCTAGGAAGAAATGAAAGAGGTAGATGGGGCTAGATCATTTAGGATCATGTAGACCATTACAAGAATTTGAGCCTTCTTAAAATTCACTAGAAAGATACTGAAGGAAAATAAGGAAGTCACTGGTATGATTCAATTTGCATTAAAAAAAAAGACTTCCATAGTTCTGTTGTGGTATATTGAAATGAAGAAGAGTGGATCTAGTATTTCTGGAATAAGATAATGGTATCTGGAACTAGAAGAATGCAGGTGAAGAGAAGTAGGCAGGATTAAAGTAGAATCAATGTGAAATAGTGATGGATTGAAGGTAGAAAGTGAAAGAGAGACAAAAATAATCAAGGACAATTCTAGATTTTCTCTGAGGTCTCCATTGATTCCTTTGTTCAACAAATATTACTTAAATTAAGAAGGAAACTGGAAATGATGCAATTATTATGAATTCAGTTAGGGAAAAATAAGATTGAGATGCCTGCAGTATAGTCATGGAAGTTGATATAGGAGTAAAATTGAAAAGAAGATTAGATTAAATCATAAATTTAAGAGTTGTTCATGTAAAGATGATATATAAAGTCATGGGAGTGGATGAGATATCCTAGGGAGAGTGAAATGAATCCGGACCATGATATGGGGGAGACCCAAACATTTAGTTGGAAAGTGCCCAGCAAATAAATTAAGTAGTTGTGACCACAAAAATAGGAGGACAACCAGGAACTTAGGATGTCACAAATAGGAAAAGATGAATTCCAAATAAGCATGGTTAACTCCATTCAAAT